TTGAAGTGCCGATCGATGTGTGCTGGCAAGTCAAATGAACTGGTGTGCACAGCAAAGGGTTCGTCTCCATGCAATCAGAAGCCGAGAGAGTCAGGCTGGTCTCATGCAGTCAGAACCATGAGAGTCAGGTTCGTCTCATGTAGTCAGAGGCTGAGAGTCAGGTTTGTCACATGCAGTCAGAGGCCAAGAGAGTCAGGCTGGTCTCATGCAGTCAGAGGCTGAGAGTCAGGCTGGTCTCATGCAGTCAGAACCATGAGAGTCAGGCTGGTCTCATGCAGTCAGAGGCCGAGAGTCAGGTTTGTCACATGCAGTCAGAGGCCAAGAGAGTCAGGTTTGTCTCCCTGCCGTCAGAAAGCCATGTAAGCCAGGCTGTGGTTTTCATCAAACCCAGTTTTCTGTCTCAGAGTTTAACCAAGAAATTGTAGGCGTGAAATACTGTGAACTATTGATCTTAGGTTGTAGATACAAGAAAGTAGCAGAAGCACTTTCAAAGTGATCATTAGGAAAATGTCAAAGTTGTCCCAGAGAAGAGGCTCTGTACTAAGCAGCTAAAGCCCCTGGGCAGCCTGTGCCAGCTCACCCCCTCCACCCCCCGGCCAGCCTCCCTGCAGCGCTGTCTGCACCATCAGTCAGGGAAATGCCCCGTGCCACGCCACCCATTCCCACACACATGTTCAAGAAGCAGCATCACAGTACCGATGTCACAGGGAGCCTCTGGGTCTGCAAGGATGAGTTTTTCAATGGAAAAGCAATGGCTTGTGCTCCCAAGTGAGTCTTTACGCCTTGATTGCCTATTGCTATATTAAAGTTTGGAATAAAGTGCCTATTAATTAAAAAGCATACCAAGTATCGGGAAGAATAAATACTATCAAGTGATGATTGGAGAATATTGCTTATTAAATGGGTGTAGAAGAGAATACAATAAAAATGCCTGGGGATGAGCAACATCCAAAGTATAGCGAAGCGTGCTCGGGCGTGTGGGCACAGCAGCCTCCCGACCGTGCATACAGGTGGAGGACAGTTGGAATGCACAGGTGTGTCTGCCGCGAAGGCCGAGGCTGCGGTCCTAAGGCCTGACTGTGTTGTAAGGCTTTCTCATTGGAGACTGGCATGCGGGGAGAGGGAAGGGACTTCCAGGGGCAGAAGCTGAAGGGAACAGGCTTGAATGACCCCTGCTGGTGGTCTCCTTCACTCTTCATTCTCCAGGAGGAGAGCCTTGTCTTTCCTCACTTGTCCCCAATGCCAAAGGCAGATCAGCGCCTCCTTCCTGCATTGTTCAGCGGGTGAAGCAGTTGCAGGCTGTGGTCGATGCCACAGTCTGGCCCCAAAGCTCAGGTGCTTACCGGGAACTACAGCATCAGACTCTTTCTTAAGGTTTACCCAGAAGGTTCTTAAGACTGGGTGCTGAAGCAAATTTGCACTTTAAAAGCAAGTGTTCCACTGCAATCGATGTATGTATGTTTATAGCTAATGAGTGGTGTATCTGAGCAGACATATTTACAAGGTTGTGACTGAGCTATGTGGCCCCATCAGCTCTGGGCAATTTGTGCTGCACCGATTTCAACACATAATTACCACTACTTTAGAACAAGAGGTACGTAATTTTGGAGCAGTAATCTTCACAGTCAGACATGAAAGTTATATTGCAATTTAAGCAGATGATTACTCAGAGTTGTGTTTTACAGTTATAAATTGCATGAGGGGAAACCTGTGATTACTTTAAGATGTTGAATTGTTTGTCTAATTTGGAGCTGATAACCACAGGTTATGAAAACATTTAAAAATAATGACTGCCATTACTAAAGATTTATGTAAGGAAGAAATATATCCTTTCCTTAATCTAAATACCCTAAATATTTTTAGAAAATACTAAGTTCCTAAAGATTTTTTTTTTTTTACAGAATTCATTTAATGATGAACTTGTTGTAATAAAATACTAGGGCTTTGGAAGTTACTTTTTTCTGTGGGCTCCTGATAGCATCTCAGAGGTTATTTATTTATTTTTTGTTCAATATTGAGATTTAAACTTGGATCCCATACATGCATTCTCAGCTGGTGCTCTGCCACTGGAATCCCGCCTCCAGCCTAGCTTTTTGCTGGCTATTTTGGAGCCGGAGTTTCACTGATTTTCTGCTCACCTTGGTCTCAATCCTCTGTATCTGAACATTCTGGTTATCTAGGATTACATTAATTTCCACCATTGTGTGCTTAGTTTGTTCATTTTTGCTGCCAAAATACGCTTCTGTGGGAGGAGAGCTGACACAGCTGTCTGCTCTTCTGTGTCCGTGCTATGACCACGTTTTGCCTTTATCCTCAGTACTAATGTTCCGTGGCCACCTTCCCCTAAAATTCATGACGTCAGAAGGTATTTTTCTTTTTCTCATGGTTGAAACATAATGCACAGAACGAATTTTCATGGTGAAAAAAAGAATGTGAAGTTCACAATTGAGTGTATGAAAAGCTCTTTGGACATGACCTTGTACATTTATCTGCACACGACTTCATATCACAAAGTCCAATGCTCTGATTGCTTGCACGAAAGACTCACTGCTCTTATCAAGAGCCTGCATGGTAGGTGTAGAACCATTGCCATTTCTAGGTACCTGGTGTGATCAGGCCAGGGCCAGGAGAGCACCAATCTGCTCCACAACAAATCCAGTGCAAGGAGAGCTGGAGTCGGCTCCACACAGTAGTCCACTGGCCCTAAAAGGCACAGCATTTTGCAAGGGTGAAGGACATAAAAGTTTCAAGGAAACAATGTTTTTTTCTTTCTCAACATCCATATGAAGTTTCTCCAGGGTGCGCTGCCTGAGAAAGTACCAGCCCCAGGAGCGAAGCTGGCACCCCTCCACCCGACTCCTACAGGGTGCTTTGCTGCAGAGTCCCTGGCAGGGCTGGCCCACCCTCCAGGCTGTTCCGGAAGGCAGAGAGAAAAGGGCTTCGAGTCTTGGTGTGGACGGGTGGCCCAGAGTCGCAGCGGGTAGAAGGGCATGAGATGAAAGCTATACCTTAAATCCAGCTCCCTGCCACAGCAGCTTTCCTTCAGGTGATGGTGTGGGAGACATTTTCTCCCCATCGTGTGCTTGGCTGAGAATCTTTAGAAGCGTTCATAATTGGAGGAATTATTTTCTTAGTTATTCAGATAAGCTTTGGTGAAACAGGGAGACAAAATTAAAGCCACACCATTTAAGAGAGAAACTCAATGTCCTTTTTGAACTCAACTGTTAACTAGTTCTTGTTTCTGTTGGTTTTCTGGTGGCTCCATCATTGTGTAAAAATGTCTATGATACTCCTGTAAGATTGCTATTTCAGAGCTTAAGACAGTCCCAAATACATTTAAATTGCTTTATGTTAATATAGTTGGGTGTTTTCTGTAGGTATGATTCCAGATTCCAGGTGCGGTTTTAACATCAGCTTGTGTGCTTAAAGTACCATTTCACCTTTGATTATAACCAGTCCCTGTAGACACGATACCTGTGATGCCACAAGTGTAGAAAAAGTTGCATACTGTTCACTTCCGGTATCAGTTGTAGGCACAGCACGGTGGTGTGAGCACGGCTGGGTGCCGGCACTCAGGCTCAGATGTGGCTGTTGTTGGGGTCCACGAGGTGGCCGGCCCTGAGAGGAACAAGCACTCTTCTCACTAGCCTGGACAGGCAGCCACACCACGGGCTGAGCTGGCGTCTGGTCCCTGCTGCACACATCGCTTGCATTTGTAATAGGGACCTCATGGTCTGAGGCCAGCCTGTTCAACGTCAAGAGACCATATCTGAAGAACAATCGGAGCAAAAAGGAGCTGGGGGTCGCTCAGAAGGTAGAGCGCTTTCCTAGCAAGTGGGGGGTCCTGAGGCCAATCCCCAATAGTACAAAAATTCAGTAAACAAATAAGCATGGGCGCTGCCACTGCTGCCCAATGGACTTCCAGAAACTCACATGCAGGTTTGAAAACCACCAAAATGGCTGTGAGCAGTAACGGGCCAGAGAAGCCGAAGAAGACAAAGCCTGCAGACAGACCTCGCCCATGCAGACAGGTCCCTCGAAACCTCTGGATTTGTGCGAGGCGTGTGAGGCCTCCCCACAGAGCCCTGCCTGAGGGCTCATTTGTGACCAGAGTGTTGTTGCCACAGGAAAAGACAGCGGGGGATGCCTGAGCTCTGCAGGGGCCCCTGCACGAGGCGCCCGCACTTTGCTGTGAAGGGAAAGGGCTTGTCCTGTCTCCATCAAGGTCCGATTTATATTTATTTGCCACTGACTGGCGAAGATGGAGCAACTTAGCCTGACACCTGTCCATCATTTCACCAACATGCAGCTTTACTAGTATTTTTCAGTGCACATGTGTGTGACAAACACATGTAAACCTCCTTTGGAAAGAATCTTAGATAATTATGTCTTAGGAGGCCTGAAGAGGTAGTTCCCAGTGCATCTTTACAGAAGTGCCCCCACCCACAAGCACCACGTGTATACATCACACACACCAGAAGAACATCCAGCGCACGTGTCACACGCATGTGCACAGACCATGTTACACATGTGGATGCACATGATAGACTTACACTTTGCCCAGGAGCTCACATGGGAACACACAAGCATTTATTTGAACACAGTCTCTTGTAATCATGAGAAGCTACTCCCTCTGACTCCCTGTGAGTCTCAGACACAGAACACAGCTCTGAAGGACATGGCGCGAAGCAGGCAGTGTGAGGGTGGCAGGTGGCAAGTCAGGTGATGTGGTGTCTGTGTCCTGTCCCTGCCGATGGCATTGCCAGACACTGCCTGGAGCTGGGGGCTCTCCGAACCCTTGAGGGCCTGTGTGGTTTTCTTATATTTCTGGCATCTGTAAATACTAAGTGAGTAAATAATTGCTGGTCACCAAGTTGTCTCACCAAGTATATAGCCTTGAGTGTAGCAATGAGCTTCTCAGTCCCCAAAGTGGCAGGTGGCTGTATTCCAGAAGTCTCTCAAAGCCAGCTGACTTTTGAAGTGGCTGCACGTACTGCTCCATGCCGGACCTCTCAGGAGAAGAAAGGCTGCAGCTGCCGGGTAGAAGGAGCTCGTCAGAGCCACGCGGGTGGTGCTGGGGCGCTGGGGCTGGAAGCCGGCAGGCACAGTGTCCCGCAGGTTCTCCTGGGTGCCACGCAGGGTTCGTATGCCTGGGCTCAAAGCGGGACATTTAGTCAGCAGGAACTTCCAGCACGGAGCTTGTTTTGCAAGTGTGAGTGGTTCAGACCTGCCTCTGAAGAATGGCTGGGCAGGTGAGGTTTTGGATAGGGCAGGGGCTTTTCTCAGCGGTGGCCTGGCGGGTTCTTCCAGGCTTTTATCGGGAACCTGTCAGATTCACTTTCTGGATCTGTTGGAATGATCTTTTGACTTTTGTTCTTGGTTCTATTTGTACACTTTATTACATTTATTGATTTATATAGGCTGAATTGTCTTCAATCTCTTGATCGTGGTATAGTCTCATTTTTAGTGTATTGTTGAACTTGTTTGCAAATATTGAGGGTGTAAACATCTGTATTCATCAAGTGTCTCTAAAATTTTCTTTTACAGTGGGCGTATGTTCTTATGAATACATATTTTCTTCTTTGTGTAATAGTCCCCTAAGTATCTTCTTTAAAACTGTCATGAATTCTGTCAGTTCTTACTTCGATCGGGAGGTCTTTATTTCTTTTTTGCGTTTTAAAAGGATAACTTTGTTGCTTATAATATTGTGGTAGAAAGTTTCTTTTGTCTCAGCAGTGGAAATACAGCTCTGCTGGCAATGTTGGTTAGTGTCGGCAGGTGACAAAGACCATTCGTGGTGTCCTGTCCAGTCATCACGTGGAGTGCTCTGCTCCAGACTGCCTGACTGCTGTCCCGTCCAGTGATCAGATGGAAGATTCGACTCTAGACTCAAGCCATTTGTGAAGGTCTTCATGAGTGCAGTCACTTGACTTGGAAAGTTCTTTCCGTTATCCAGGGTCTGCTGTGTAGCCTTTGTCTCTGTTCACAGTCACGGCTGCCTCTTGCTGGCCATCTGTTTCCAGCTACTCCTCGTCTCCTCATCCTGTCTCTGCTTTCTGCTTTTGTGTCCAGTAGAATCACCAGCACATACAGTCCTCGAGCTCACATTGTGACACGGGTCCCCATGTCCGGGAACCCCGGCACCAGCAGGTTTGAGTCTTATCAGATGGTGATTTCAGTGGCCCCCTGAGTTTGGGAAGCCCTCCATTTTCCTGGCTGGCCGCCGCTCCAACTGCCCTCGCTCTTCACGACCTTGGTTTCTAGCATCTTCTCTCCGTGTCTCTCTGTCTCTCTCTTTTGCTCTCTTTCTAGCTCTTCCCTCCCTCGATGCCTTTTCCTTTCACCTTTGCCCAGGGCCCTTCTTTTCCTTCCTCTGGCCCCAACTTGGGGTTCTCATAGGTATAGAGTTTCCACCTGCCCTCTCCGCTCCTTGGCCTTGGAACGTGTGATTCTACAGAGGAGCATAAAACATTGTCTCCTGAAAAAGAATTTCTCTTCTTTGAGTTCAAAACAAATTTGCATATATTCCTTAACATCAGTGTCAGTCCTGATGGCGGGAGGCAATTCAAAAGCGTGATGGAAAATACGTGTTGGAGGCGTCTGAACGGCATAATGACACGTAGGCAGCAGAATGCATTCTCCTCAGCCCGCCTTGACGCTGATGCGAATTATGTTTCAAAAATACACCTGTGTGGCAAGGCCTGGCTGAGGAGGGGCAGGGTTCTGAGTGGGTCCCTGTTCACACCTCTTGTTCTGTCAGCTCTCAATCAGTGACAGGGTCGTTTTTCAGGGGAAGCTGTGGTGATGTGAGCTGAGAGGCTCGTGTGGCGTCAGGCAAAGGCTAGGGGGTGCACGGGTCCATTCAGCAAGGACCAGAAGCAAGCACGGTCGTCTCCTGAGTCTTCCGCGTCTTCGTGCCCTGCCCTCAGCCTGCCCCGGGACGCGAGCGGCTAGCTAAGCTGTCTTCATCAGTCTTGGCCTTTCCTGACTTGTAAAGCGAGAGAACTGTCTGTCTTAAAGTCTTCATGGCCAGACAGTTTCCTCACGATGTAAATGGTTTCTCTGCATGGTGGGACATTGGTGGGGCCACTTTCCTGTTCTTTGAGTTGCTGCTTCTCACCCTCCGCCCCGTTCTGATAACTGCACCTTCTCCCACCCTTTGAAGACATTTGGGTGATGCCTCTTGGGAGAGTTGGTTTCTCAGTCGTTGCCAGGATGTGATTTTGCTTCTTCCAAAAAATGCATCCTAGGATTAGATGTTGTTTATTATAAATTCATGAAATTTAAATATTCAAGTTGTTTTCAGGGGGAGAATGTTCATTTATGGTACAAAATTGAATTTAGCAGTCGTTTCAATTTATGAATTTTCTTCCTAAGCTCTGTTTTATATCACTATCCTCAGCCCTATCATTCTGGAAACTTTCAAATACATTTTATTGTGTACATTGGTAGAATACAATATGGCATGTGGAGTTATGGACGGAAATGTTGAACTCTGTCTTCCAGAGCTACACAATCTTCTTTGGCAGGAGCAGTTCAAATTTACTCAGTTAACATGAATCCAATAGCACACAAAGTGAGCCATAAGTCCCTGTGTTGTTTATTTCATGACAAAAAATTACACTTGGATGTGATGGATTGAACGGGGTTCTCAAACAATGGAAACAAAGGAGGATATTCTTAAGAGAGGATCACAAAGCCTCAGTGGCTGTGTGCATATGATCGTATAAAATGATGCTTATCAAAATGAACAAGGAATGGAAAGGAGTTCTTCATTTTACTCTGTGTGTGTGTGTGTGTGTGTGTGTGTGATATTTCTGTTTTCCCCCCTTTGTCGCTGTTTTTGGTTTCTGTACTGTTTGTCTTTTATACGTGTTTATCTGATTTGGGGAGGGGAGGGGAAGCACAGAAATGGATGGACAAAGGGAGAACTAATTCAGCAGTGACACTCACCAGACACTGTGAACTATACAGCTTGGGGAGAGGGGAATTGGGATGGAAAAAAACACAGAGAAAACGAGAGAGGGGCGACACTGCTCAAAAAGAAATGTCCTCCTTACCTGACGTGTAACTGCAGTCCCTCTGTACATGACCGCTACGATAACAGTAATTAACAACAGGAAGAAACAAGTCTGGCCGGCTCATCCCTCTGTCTACTTCTGTTGACTATGACCCATAGCTCAACTTTTCTCTGTTTTACTGCTGGTCACCACTATTCAGTTCTAGTCTTGGTGTGCTACATTTTTTCTGAGATTCCACATAGAAAGGAAATTATGGTGTGCACCTGATTAATAGCAAGATATCTCTGTGTTGTGGTTTAAATGGAAGGATCCTTTCTCTTTCTTTTTAAGGTTGAGCTGGGTGATGGTGGCTCACGCCTGTAGTCCTAGCTACTCAGGGGGCTGAGATCTGAGGATCTTGGTTGAAAGCCAGCCCCCAGGGGAGAATCTCTTATCTCCAATTAACAATCAAAAAAGCCAGAAAAGGCACTGTGGCTTAAGTGGTAGAGCACTGCGTGTGGTGACTCAGCACCACAAATAATAAATAAGTAAACAGATATGTACATAAATAAGTAAGAGGTTGGATAGTATTTTATTGTGCATGGATGCGTCTGTGACTTTATCTATGTATGCGCTGACAGGCACACAGGCTACTCCTGTAGCCGGTTGTTGTAATGGACATGGTCAGTGCTCTATGCAGTGGTCTTTTCTTTTTTTGGGGGGGTCCGGTCGTGGGGCCTGAACTCTGGGCCTGGGCGCTGTCCCTCAGCTCTTCAGCTCAAGGCTAGCGCTCTACCACTTGAGCCACAGCGCCACTTCTGGCTTTTTTTCTTTTTGCTTATGTGGTGCTGAGGAATCGAACCCAGGGCCTCATGCATGCAAGGCAAGCGCTCTACCACTGAGCCACCTTCCCAGCCCCTGCAGTGGTGTTTTCAGTTGCTTGAGTTAGCCACATGCACAGAGAGTGGGAGTTGGGTGATTTTATTCCTAGGTGCTTTTTGGTTGTGGTCTTGGGGTTTGAACTCAGGTCCTTGACCTGACTAGGTAGATGCCACCAGGTAAGTTTGTTTGTATTTTCTGAGGACCCCCATGCTGTTTTCCCCAGTGAAGGCACCAAGGTGTGTTTCCAGCACGGCGCATGGATGTTTTCCTCCTCTCACCCGCACCAGACGAGCTCTGACTTGATAGCTGCCGTGTCATTCCATGTATTTTGTCCCTTTATTTTGCTGAGGTTTTGCTGTGATATCCAAAGACAGTTATTGTCAATTCCGGTGACAAGGCACTCTTGCCCTGTCTTCCAGGAAGTTTATCGCTTTCGCTCTTGCGTTCACATCTTTTGTGTAGTTGGGATCTGTCTGTCTGTCTGTCTGTCTATCTATCTATCTATCTATCTATCTATCTATCTATCTATCTATTTTGGTCAGTTGTGGGGCTTGAACTCTGGGCCTGGGCGCTGTCCCTCAGCTTTTCAGCTCAAGGCGAGCGCTCTACCACTTGAGCCACAGTGCCACTTCCAGTTTTCTAGTGGTTTATTGGAGATAAGAGTCTCACAGACTTCCTGCCCTGGCTGGCTTTGAACCTTGATCCTCAGATCTCAGCCTCCTGAGTGGCTGGGATTACAGGCGTGAGCCACCAACCCCTGGCAGGATGTAGTTTTTATATCATGTAGCACGGGGACCCAATTTCATTCTTTTGCATGTAGAAATCCCATTTTCCTAGCATCACTTACTGAGTAGATTATCATTTCCCTTTAGTAAACACCATTGCCATTAGTTGACTTAAACATCTGGGTTTATTTCCAGGCTCTCCCCACGGTTGCAGTTGCCTTTGTATCTGCGAGGCTGCCGACACTCCGTTTCTTTGGTTTCTGTCGATTTGCAATATAATTTAAGATCAGGAAGTTTGGTGTCTTCAACTTTCCACTTGTGTTGTTTGTTTCTTAGAATTAATTTGGACATTTGCAGTCTTTTCTGGTTTTGTATATATATTTTTTTGCTGTTTCTGCAAAGAATACCACTGAGGTTTTTACTGAGTCTGCAGTATTTTTCTGATACATGAACATAGATATTTTTCCAGTTATTTGTGTCTCATTCACCGTCTTTCATCTATGCTTTATAATTACCACAATGTAAACTTTCCACTTTCTGGTTCAACATATTCTAAAGTAGTTAATTGGCTGGCCATTTCACTCACGTATATTTGCACGTGGGATTGTTCTTTTGATTTCATTTTCTATTACATCATTGTTTATAGAAATGCTACTGACTTTTGTGTGTTGATGTTATAGTTTGCAGTTTTACTCAATTCATTTCTTAGCTCTAATGTTTTTACTCAATTCATTTCTTAGCTCTAATGTTTTTACTCAATTCATTTCTTAGCTCTAATGTTTTTACTCAATTCATTTCTTAGCTCTACTGTTTTTATGGCTACTTTTGGGATTTTGCATGTGGGACCGTGCCATCTTTAAGCAGAGATCATTTTATTTTTTCTTTTCCATATTCTGTCCCTTTCATTTCTTTCTTGTGTGTAATAATTCTTCTAGTACTATGTTGAGTGGAAGTAGTGGGAGAGAGGCCCTCCTTCCAATCAGGTTGTAAAGGACAATTTTTCAGTTTTCCTTATTCGTGTTAACTGTAAGTTTTTGCCAAATGACAATGTTTGTCAGTGTCCAAGCTGTTGCTAGCTTTGTGAAGAAAGGGTGCCATGCTTTGTGGATACTTGCTCTGTGTGAATTTAAGATGTACAGAGAACCCTTCTTCTTCCCAGGCTCATTAGATATTTATAGTATCACTCACGGGCCATACATAATTTTCAAGGCAGGCAGACAGGACACAGAGAGCCAACAAGAGGCATATGAGAAGCATCGCTTTCTACTCTGTCCTCTACCAGATGACTGTGTAGGCTGTGTGTCCCACGTTGATTGTGACAGCCATTCGTTTTATCTTTCATGTTTATATGATGCTCCACCTTGATTGACACATGTTCACTTAACCTTGTGTGCAGGGGCGTGCCCTACTTTGCCTTGATCTACACTGGTTGTGCACTGTGGTGAATCTGGTTTGCTGATGTTTTATTAATGAGTTTTGCACACTTATCACAGAAATTGACCCATAGTTTTAACTCCGTGTGGTGTCTTTGTCTGGCTTAAATGTAAAGGTGATAGTGGCCT